GGATTCACCCTGAAGACAGTGAAGACCATGGAAGCATTTAGGCATAAACACCTCCTGAAAGGGAGTTGCAAGAGCAGATGAGGAGGGTGAACTGGAGAAGGGAGTGAGGGTGTGGAGTTCAGAGCCCAGGAAGGAGGTGGATGCAATGGCTGACTTGGGGGGTAGTGTTAAATGGGCTCACACCTCCCTCATGTCCTTCTGGGCTGGGCTGTGAGAGGGAGACACCCAACAGAAAGCAATGCAGGATGGACAGGCATGTGGGATGGACCCTCACATCACAGGGTGAGAACAGAAAGTCCTCTCCCTGACTTTCTTGTCTCTGTGAGCAGAGCCCCTGCTCACCAGCCCTCTCCATCAAACCTTCAGAATCCTTTCTGCTTCCTCACTGCCTCTTGTCCCCCAGACTGTACCTCTTTGTCTAATTCTGTTTATTTCATCTCTATGCTTTGAGTAGAAGAGCATGTTGGAGACAATTCCCAGGTTGTAATCTAAGACCTGGGCACAAATTTATTGAACTTCTATTTTGAGCCAGTCTCTTCTCCCTCTGTGCCTGTGGACTGGAAAAACCAAGGGGCCCTCAGGACAGTGAGCTCAGGGGTGCAGGAGCGGAGCCTGGGGGCTGTGCAAGATGCATCTGTTCCCACAGGGCAGCTCAGCGCCTTTTCCTGGCCCTGGGACGCAGGTTCTATGTGTCACACAGGTTCCACCTGACTTTCTGTCTCTGGGACCAGCGGGATCTCTTCAGGTTCTGGGGGTGAATCATCTGAGTCATTTCTGCCCCTTCAGAGCACCTTTGATGCCGGGTGTCACTCTCCTCTTCCAACTGTGGAGACTCATCAGGACTCAGACAAGAACAACATTCATGGGAGTCCTGTTCCAAAGCAGCAACACACACAGACACACATTAAATATCAATGTGGCGCTACCACATCCTGAATGGTTGAAGGACACTTGAGCAGGGCACTTCCTCCCTTGACTTCTCAGCAATACCAACACCTGCCCCACAAAGATGGTGAGAATTCTTCTCGACTGAGATATGGAAGAAACGAAACCAGCCATGCAATGCAGATGGAGATGGTGGAGGTTTGAGAAATTGAAAATCGGAGACACCTCGTCCAAAGGAGAAGAAAGAAGACTCCAGGTCAGACCCCTCGTGTGGAGTCACCTTGATGATTCAGTGGGGAGGTCATGGTCTTTCCATCACATGGTCCTGGGCCAGTGGGTGAGTCTCTAGGACACGGTGAACATCTTACCTGCCTCACAGCATTTGCAATAAGCAATGCAGGATGGGAGACATTTCTCAACAAGAGAAATAAATCAATTACTATTTCTTTTACCAAACTATCTTATTAACTTGTGAGATTTTTTTTTTTCATGTGGACACAAGGACAAGAACTTAGGGGGAAATGGACACAGAGAATCACTATCATGAAGAACTTCTGTTCCTCATAGACACCAGCGAGACAGGAAGAGGATAATTGCGATGGCAAAATGGGACCACGGACTGGCCCTCAGATCACCTAAGAAATATTACAGATCCGTAATGTGGCAGCAGAGAGCAAGAGAAAAGCAAGCAAACACCATTATCAAGCAACTGATATTGACATGCAAACCTGCAGTGACATTACGTAAAGGTGATGAGCTCGCCTTGCCTGGTGTTTTTCAGTGGTTAATGCATCACCCTGACCACCGAAGGGTCACAAGTTTGTTTCCAGGTGAAGGGCATGTACCTTGGTTGCAGGTTTGCTCCTCAACCCTCATGTGGGATGCAACCAATTGGTATCTCTCTGACATTGATGTCTCTCTCTCTCTCTCTCTCTCTCTCTCTCTCTCTCTTTCTCAGTCTCTCTGTCTTTCTCTCTCTCTCTCCTTCCTTCTCTCCCTTCCATCCTCTCTAAAAAACATTGGAAATAATACCATCAGGTGAGGAGTAAAAAACCAATTTTTTTAAAATAAAAGGTGCTGAGCTTTATAAGTCATTGAAGGAATAAATGTGCATCAATCCACAGGGTGGTACCAATACTTACACTGAATAATGAAAATTAAAAAGGCCAGAAACATGAAGGGTTGGCAGTTATGGGAACCTACCAGGACCCTTGAACCAGGGAAAGTCTTGGAAATCCTGAGGCTACTGGGAAACTGCTCAGCAGAGTCTTTTATAAATGAGCTCCATCAAGAGCCGTGGTCGTTGTCCCATTGGGCTGTTCAGAGCCAGACTCTCAGGGGCGGATCAGGACCAGAACCTGGGTCCCGCCCTTATCAGAGCAGGAGTCAGACCATCAGACACAAGAGACCCCGAGGATCAGGTGAGACCTGAGAACGTGTCTCCCCCTCGGCCCTCATCCGGGAGAGATGCAGAGCCAGGCCCAGGGCGGGGTCCTCCCTTGGCTGTGGGTCCACAGCTGTGAAAACACAGAAGGCGGAAGCAGCTCCGGACCCACCACATCCTGTGCGTCTTTGTCCTTCAGGCCCAGGCCTCCTCCATCTGCAGAGCAGGAGCCCTCAGAGCAGACGCCATGACATCCATCCTCTCTGCCCTTCTCTGCCTCGGTCAGTTGTGGACACGGGGATGGAAGGAAGGAAGGAGGGAGAGCAGGAGGAGGGACAGGATGGTTACAACTCCTTGTTCATGGGGAACGTCAGGCTCAAGCAGCTCAATTGGACGGGGCCGTAATGGGAAGGGAACCAGCTGAGACCTCCGGGTGCAAATCTCTCACAGGGACTCTCTTCCAGGGCTGAGTCTGGACCAGAGGACCCGTGTGCAGGCAGGTGAGTCCTCCCCAGGCTCCATGTCCCTCCTCTTACTTCACCCCTGGGGCTCAGTACGGAGCACAGAGGTGCTGGGATGAGGTGATAAAATGAGAGGGTCTTGGGCTGAGCTTGGGATGAGGGTGAGAAAGTCTTTGTAAAGCAGCCTCTGTTTCCTTTTAGGGCCCTTCCACAAACCCACCCTCTGGGCTGAGCCAGGCCCTGTGATCAACTGGGGGAGCTCCGTGACCATCTGGTGTCAGGGGACCCCAGAGGCTGAGGAGTACCGTCTGTATAAAGAGGGAAGCACAGCATGGTGGTACCAACAGAAGACACTGGATCCCGGGGACAGAGCCAAGTTCTCCATCAGACACACGACAAAGCCTGATGCAGGGAGATATCGCTGTTACTATCGCAGTCCCAGTGGCCAGTCAGAGCCCAGTGACCCCCTGGTACTGGTGGTGACAGGTGAGAGGACACTCAGGGGTCCCAGCCTCAGGCTCTGCCCTCAGGAAGGGGGTCTGCTCTCAGGGTGTCTCCCTCTCACAGCCCAGCCCTGGGGGACATGAGGGAGGTGTGAGCCCATTTAACATGCTGCCCCCTCCTCTCCTAGGAGCCTACAGCAAACCCAGCCTCTCAGCCCTGCCCAGCCCTGTCATGCCCTCAGGAGGGAACGTGACCCTCCAGTGTGGCTCAGGGCAGGGATTTGACAGGTTCCTTCTGACTAAGGAAGGAGATCACAGGCTCTCCTGGACCCTGGAATCACAGCCACAGCCCAGTGGACGGTCCCAGGCCCTGTTCCCTGTGGGCCCCGTGACCGCCACCCACAGGTGGACGTTCAGATGCTATAGCTGTTCCTGGTACAGCCCCCAGGTTTGGTCACTCCCCAGTGATGCCCTGGAGCTCCTGGTTCCAGGTAAGTCCCATTATTTTCTCATCAAATGATTGAGGCACTGGATACATAATTGGCGTCTTCGCTGTGAGTGGAGCCCCAGGGGAGATGATGAGGTGAGTACAGGGGCACCTGGGCCAGAGACACGGAGAGAAACAGTGAGACATGGGGACCAGGCCAGGAGAATGGGGTTGATGGTAGGAGCAGACACTGTAATTCATTTCTGGTCTCCCCAGGTGAGTCTGGGAAGCCCTCCCTCCTGACCCAGCAGGGCCCCATCGTGGCCTCTGGACAGAGCCTGACCCTCCAGTGTCGCTCTGATGTCGGCTATGACAGATTTGCTCTGCACAAGGAGGGGGGAAAGGACCTCCCCCAGAGCCTTGTCCTGCAGCCCCAGGCCGGGCTCTCTCAGGCCCACTTTTCCCTGGACACTGTGAGCAGCTCTCACGGGGGCCGGTACAGATGCTATGGTGGATACAACCTCTCCTCTGAGTGGTCGGCCCCCAGTGACCCCCTGGACATCCTGGTGGCAGGTGAGGATCCAGTGGGTTCAGTCAGGGACCCAGACTCTGCACAGGCCCTGCTGGGGTTCTCAGGTGGTGAGGCCAGAA